CTTGGCTATAAGGTTGAGAGACCAACCATGTTGCCACCAAATACAGAGGAAGGGTGCTCCAATGAAGAATTGCAGTTCAGAGGACCAATTTGTGATGAGTACCAAATTCCAAGGGTACAATCCAAAACAGGACCAACCCCTTTTGAACAACTTCAAAAGTCATGGGTAATTCTGGTGGCAAGAAATAGTCAAAGAACTGTTGCTTTTGGTTGTGGGAAAAACTATTGCTTTTGATTGTGGGAAAAACTATTGTACTTGTTCCAACTGCTTTTGAATTTTGCTTTTGTAAGGGGTCCAGTTTGGAAGACATTGTGGTTTTACTTTTGATGTTCTTGCAATGAATGAATGAAAAGTTATTTTGTTGCAGTTTACTTTACTTGACCATTTGTTTTGCTTATCACATCAGATGCAAGTGTTTTTGGAATTGTACTTAAAAGTATAACAAACATAAATATGATAGAATACATAACCTTCAAAGTTGATACAATCAAACTTCAAAGAGTTCATTTCATTTTAATATCATAAGCATAACAAACACAACTACATGGATTCAATCCATCACAAACAGAAACATTACAAACACAACTACTAGATTCACAATCCATCAACCTTCATACATCCTAAACCAGCCATAAAGGCTAAAGTTACATAAACAAAAACACCAAACACAAGATGATAGCAGATGATCCTAAGCAATCATTTTAAATGAACCCTGGGCACCATAGTCTTTATTATTCAGATACTGATACAAGATGATAGCAGATGCAACAAAGAACAACCGCATTGTACTCTTTGACTTGGTCCTCATGGAAATTTTCAGCCTTTTCATCTCAGCTGCCAAGTTCTTGTTTTCCTCCTTCAGTTTATCATTTTCTTCTTGAATTTCTTGAAGAATCTGGCGCAGCTCGTTCGATTTGCGCAATAGTCCAGGGATCAATTGCTTCGACCGAGTTCACATCGGCCCATCAACCCAACAAAAAAAATTGCACCCTCCTCCTTTCTGATTAATACAAAATAAAACCAAAAAAAAATAAATAAATAAAATTTCTGCAAAATTAGGGTTC